AGAATGACAAAATAAGTGTTAAAGGAACAAAAAAGCCAGCACCTAACTCTGGGTTGGGGGCAGGAGGGCTGTTCTCAGAGGAAGGCAGAGCTTCAAAAAGAAAGTGAAGCTTAAATTTAGTCTTAAAACAAAGGCAGGAACTCAACAGGTACAGAAAGTTGGCAATGAACAGCATGTGCCTAGTACTGATATTCTTTTAAAAACTTAAAAATCCAAATTCTTTAAAGAGACAACTCATTAAGATGATTTACTATAACAAGAAAAACAGTTCTAAAGGGAATATACCTGAATCATTAATAATGGATTTTGCATAAAGTAGGATGGACATATTGATACAAGCAGCTAGTCAGTAAGTATAACTTTTAAGGATTTTCAAACACATATTTTATAAATTGAAACATCTGATTGCCCATAAAAATATAAACAGAAATTGCATTATACTGGGCAACAGCTAAAAAAAAATGCTATAAGAAGTAGAAGAAATATATGTTGACATCTAGGTATTTCCTTAAAAGCTTTCATATTACACAGTCTTATTGTTCAGTCGCTCAATCATGTCCAACTCTTTGCAACCCCATGGACTGCAGCACACCAGGCTTCCCTGTCCTTCACCATCTCCTGGAGCTTGCTCAAACTCATGTCCATTGAGTTGGTGATGCCATCCAACCATCTCATCCTCTGTCTTCCCCTTCTCCTCCTGCCTTCAATCTTTCCCAGCATCAGGCTCTTTTCCAATGAGTGGGTTCTTCACATCAGGTGGCCAAAATAATGGAGCTTCAGCTTCAGCATCAGTCCTTCCAATGAATATTCAAGATGATTTCCTTTAGGATGGATTGGTTTGATCTCTTTGCAATCCAAGGGATTCTCAAGAGTCTTCTCCAACACCACAGTTCAAAAGCATCAATTCTTCAGTGCTCAACTTTCTTTATGGTCCAACTCCCACATCCATACATGACCACTGGAAAAACCACAACTTTGATTATATGGACCTCTGTCAGCAAAGTAATGTCTCTACTTTTTAATACTCTGTCTGGGTTTGTCATAGCTTTCCTTCCAAGGAGCAAGTGTCTTTTAATTTCATGGCTGCAGTCACCATCCACAGTGATTTTGGAGCCCAAGAAAAGAAAGCCTTTCACTGTTTTCCCATCTATCTGCCATTACATGGTCTAGTAGTTCTCAAAGGTGTGGCTCTCAAGAACCCTTCACACTCTTAAAACTTATTGAAGACCCCAAACAGCTTTTATTTGTAAGCTATCAATGTTTACCACATTAGAAATTACAACTGTGAAATTTTTAAATATTTAATTAATTAAAAAAACTGTACACTAAACCTACCATAAATAAATAATAATAATTTCCAAAGCATTTAGTGATTTCAGGTGTTGTTTTACTCTTACGAGCCTCTTTAACATCTGGCCTCTCAGAAACAAGTGGATTCTCCTCACCTGCTTCAGTTCAATGGCCTGCAGGATATGTGGTTAAGGTCTACGAAACACAATCAGCCTCACACAAACACGGGCTAGAAAAGCAAGGAGTATTTCAGTAGTCTTTTCAGCTCACTGTGGACATTTTTTAATACCACACCCAAACTAGGCAAACTGCAGGTTCTTAAACAATAGTTGCAATGTAGAATCTAAAACCTTATCAACGAACTTATCATACTGTTATGTTGCAATCCATTGGTATATGTCTGAATGTGTCTTTCACCCATGCACAGATCTGAAACATGATGCACTGGCCATTTGGAAAATATTGGTTCACAGAATTATGCAGCTCTTTCAAACGTGGACATATTTCACCAAATAATATCAATAACTCACACTCTGGACTTCCTTGCTGGCGCAGTGGATAAGAATTCACCTGCTAATGCAGAGGACACGCTTTGATCCCTGGTCTGGGAAGATTCCGCATGCTGAGGAACAACTAAGCCCACGCACTGCAACTACTGAAGCTTGCATGCTTAGAGAAAGCCCAAGGACAGCAACAAAGATCCACTGCAACCAAAAATACATAAAGAAATATGTAAACTATTTAACAAAAAAAACACCTATAGGCTTAAGGCAGTCCTTATGTGAGGGTGGGGTTAATACTAAAAAAAAAAAAAAACCTCACTGATTAACACTGCCACTGAGCCCATCAAAAAAGTCTTTAAGTACTCAGAAGCACACACATACACATACACACAAACAGAAAGTGGCAAGAACTCCAAAAGACAGGACAAGTATGAGGGAAGGGTCACAACACAAAGACACCAGGCTGGGCTTTGACAGGTGAATGGAATTTGGACTGAGAACTTTCATATACAACAGAATATTTAAGAAGCACAACAAATGTTTATCGACGTGAAGGCAATGTCAGGCTGTCATTTTGAAAACTAAGAATTAGATCACAAATTTTAGAAATCAAAGACGTTTAATGAGAAAAAAAGGCTTTGTGAAAAGAAGTTCCTTCCTCACATCCACAAATGGAGCTTTTCTGCTTTCTGCTCGATTCCGTCCAGGCTAAGCCCCTGCTGTATCAGAATACAGGAAAACAAAAAACAAAGTTAAAGCCATGGAATAGACCTACTAACCAGGATGAAAACAGAGGAGTGGGACAAATGTAACCTATTGTGTAGAAATTTCCTCTCTAAATCTCTGCAGGCCACCAAAACAAAGAATAAACTTTACACCATTATTCTCTTCTCTTTTTTTTTCAGGTTCACAAAAAAAGTATTCGAAAATACAGGGACTTCCCACATATCCCCCCTCTGTGCACACACCACATCCCGGACTGGTATTAATGGGGTACGTATGTTACAACTGATGGATAGTATTGATAAATTATTACTAACTAAAGTCCATAGCTAACTTAAGGGTTCACTCTGTGTTGTACATTCTATGGGTTTTGACAAATGCACAGTGACTTGTGTCTACCATTACCGTATTACACAGAACAGTTTTGCTGCCCTAAAGATCCCCTGTGCTCCACCTACTCACTCATCATCCTCATTTTTAAGCAGTTCAGCATCGTTCGGTCTGTGCTGTTTCCTTCTCCCTCCACCCTGTACCCGCTGTCACCTCTGAGTTTTAAGCAACTCATCCAGACAAATGTGACTGCTGTGAAGGCATCCAATTTTGACATTACTATTCTAATTTAGGGGCTTCCCAGGTGTGCGGTGGTAAAGAATCCACCTGCCAATGCAGGAGATGCAAGAGATGCAGGTGCAATACCTGGGTTGGGAAGATCCCCTGAAGAAGGAGATGGCAACCCACTTCAGTATTCTTGCCTGGAAAATTCCTTGGACAGAGGAGCCTGGTGGGCTAGAGTCCATGGGGTTGCAAAGAATCAGACACGACTGAGCAACTGCACACAGCAGCATTCTACTTTAGACGTTTCTCTAAAGTGGTGGGGAGTGAGTGTGTGGGGAGGAGAGAAACATCACATAGGGCAAATAAAAGTCCCACTTTCCACTTCTACTTGAAAATATTAAAATGACAATGAAAATGAAACTAGTCTTGGTTGCTTTAGAACCATATTTCATTAGTAACATCTTCCTTTATTTATATAAATAAAACTTTACTGATGTAAGGGGTAGGACAGAGGCCACGGCTCCTGTCTCCTTGGCTGCACTACACTCTGCTCTCCCTTCCCTTCAACACTGTCTTCACTTCCCCAGCTTAAGCTACTATCCACATACACTTAATCTTATACCTTTTATGCAACTATACATCTTCTACATACGGCTAAAATGACAACAGTATAAAAGGATTCAATAGAGCAGTGTTTCTTTTGTTGAAATACTTGTCTTAACGTGTGTTCTGTCCTACAAATTATGAAGTTCTCAACCTTATCTGTCAACTCCCAGGAAGAATTCAAACACACAACCACAAAACAAGGACCTGAAGGAATAACTAACACGCTGGAGCAGAAATTAGGAGCACTATTCAAAAACATATTTGAAATGTGTAAAATCTAAACTGTAACTATATGATTTTCCCTGGATGAAGAACTAGAACAAACTCAGGCCAGTAGTTCCTGTCAGAAACATTCCTAAATTCAGTTTTTTCAGATTTTCCAAGAGCATCTCATCACCAAGAATTCTCAAGTCCACCCTTTTCCAATTGCAGTTTCATTGAAAAAAAGAAAAATGTCACATGTCACAGAACTTTTAAAAATCTGGATGTTAAATTCAAAGCAGTTGCATGTAAATGGTGTATTACCTGTAAAACAAAGATAACAGCACCACCTACCTCCCTAAGGTGGGTGAGGATTTGGTGAGTTAGCACAACCCTGTGCATATTTATTAGATATTTGTAAGAATTCACTAGCCTGATCCCAGTGAAACTCGGTTCCGTCTATGGAAAAAATGGATTCTGAAAGTTGAAAATGTATTTAAATTTCAAAAACAGTTACGCATTTAGATGCTTCTCTCCGAGGGCTGCGAGGTCTCCCGACCCCGGCCAAGACCTAACTCTGCGCTGACAGCCACGCGGAATTCGGGACCTGAGCCTGGAGGTTACAGAGGGTAACACCACCCACGCCTCTTAGGCCCAATTACTCAGTCTATTTTAAACAACCAACCACTTACTGCACATGTTTTCTTAATTTTAAAAAATTCCCTAAGAGTGGCTAACAATCTCGTTCAAAGTGTTCAGCGCTTTGCACCTGTTAAAGCACTCCAGGCTCCCAACTATCCTGAGAGGTAGGTGCGGCGACCACCCTGTCTCGCAGGGGAAACCGAGGCACGCGGGCATGCAGCCGGCGCCGTCCCTACGCGCTGACACGCGGGCCCTGGCTGGGCAGCCCGCTCGGACACAGCGGTCATCCTCGTCCGGGTTTCCGCGCCTGAGGCCACACACCCAAAGCGCGGCCACCGGCCGGGCGCCGGAAGCCGGACGCGAGTCGGGGTCCCCGGTGTGAGCGCCGGGCGGGGGTCCGGGTCGCATTAAGGCGGGGCCGGGTGTGGGCAGGGGTCTGGGAGGAGTGCCGGGCGGGGGTCCGGGTTCCGGGCCGCTCACCTTCCGACAGCTCCAGCTCCAGCTCGGCCAGGCTCTCCCGCACCTCAGCGGGCAGTGGCACCGCCTCCAACGGGCACCCGCGCTCGGCCATGGCCCCGCAGCAGGACTGCCGTCCGGCCGCCTCGCGCCGGGCGGGGTCGGGGCCGGGGTCGCGCCAGGCCCAGCCCAGGTGGCCGCGCGGGCGACAGCTACGTCGCTCCCCTCAGCCCCGCGGCCCGCATCGGCCCTCGGGGAGCCAAGGCGGAGGGCAGGGGGGCGGCCCAGGCGGCTCCACAGAGACACGGGCGCGGGCACGACGCGCGCGGGGACCTCCTCTGCCGCCGCCGCCACCGCCCCGCGCGTCCCCGACAGCCCTGCCGGCCCAGCACGGAGCGCGCGTGCGCGGTGGGAAGAGAGGACAGGGGAGCGCGCGTGTGCGGCGGGTCGCCAGCCTGGTGGGCGCCTGGCCCCGCCCAGCAACACCAGACGCTCGCTGCCATTGGCTGCGAGGACGCGGCGAAGCCGTCCCGGACTTCCATTGACTGAGCCGGGAGAAAGTCACTCCCGAGAGGCTCTGCGCGGGAGGCTTGGATCGCGGGCCGGCCGGAGCGGAGGCTCCGCTGAGAGGGCGGCCGGCTCAGTGTTGGGGTCTTGGGCACGAGGCCTCTCTCAGCCCGTGTGCTAGAGCCGTTGGACTCAGGGGGGCGTCAGTGCGCGGCGATCCTTCAGGCCCCTAGGCGGGCGAGTAGCGGGCACTGGTGTGGAATCCGCGCGGACGGTGGGGTGCAGCTGCGATGGAGAACGTTGAGGCTTCCGGGCGCGCTGGACCTGTTCTTGAGGAATGCGTCCACATGCTTTCCTTTCAACACGGGTGGGCTTCACTCGTGGGGCTTTTCACAACTCCCAGGAGCCAGCTAGACACCCCGGGCCCCTTTGGACGTCCTTTATAGACCCGTTATGACGTGTGTTAGCCCAAGTGCTTTTCAAAACAGCCTTGGAAGGAGCTCCAGCAGCAATTTCAGACGGTGCGGTGACCTTGGGAAGTGCGAGGACAGACATGAGGGAACTACAGACGTGCGGGGCCTGGGGGGCGGGGGGGTTGGGTAGTGGAGCTGCACTGAGCCCCCCCACCCCCCCACCCCCACACACACACTCGAGAATCCAGAGGGAATTGTTGCGCAGTGTCGTGGGAAGTGTGTCTGCCTGGTGCAGCACTGGACTGTGGTGGACGTGAGTAACCACAACTGTAGGCAGAGGGTCACTTTCCTACATCACATCCTTCAGGTGACAGAGGCAGCAGAACCATCTGGCCACTGGGCCAATACAGAAGGCCTCTGATGAGCAGTGCTTGCCCCAGTTAATTTTTCACCTGTGTTGAGGTAGGAGTGTGAGCCAGTGAAGTGAATGAATGCCCTAGTGACCGTTTTATGATGGAAATATTAGCTATAAGGAAAGATATTGGAAGTGGGCATCATCTAAATGGTGCTGCTAGTGGTAAAGAACCTGCCTGTCAATGCAGGAGACATAAGAGATACAGGTTTTATTCCTGGGTGGGGAAGATCCCCTGGAGGAGCGCATGGCAACCCACTCCAGTATTCCTTAATGCTACTGATGCTTTTCAGAAAAATGATGGCCAGCTGATGGCTACCAATAGACCATTGAAAGTGATGGAGTCTCTTTTGATTGCATGTGAAGAAATCCTCATTTCCTTCATTGAAACAAGAAAGACAAGGACTAGGCTCAAGAGTCTCTATGATGGTAAACACCCAATCAAGACAATTCTGTTTTGCTAAGTTTGGGATCCTGGTTAGGGAAATCTGGGTAGCTGCCGTCAAAGATTTCCTCACCCTCCACCCTCACCCCATCCCACACTACCCCCTCAACTGTCTTGAACCTCTGGAGCCTGCCCATGTGGCTCACCTTTCCCTACCAACCTAACCCCCCACTCCCCAATCTGTTGGACAATAGGCATATAATTATGGTTATTTCTTAGTATAATTCAGCTGAACAATAACCCCCTTCCCCTCAAAAGAACATATTAGTTTGCCAGAGCTGCAGCAACAAAGTGCCACTAACTGGATGGCTTAACAGAAGTTTATCTCACAGTTCTGGGGGCTGGAAGTTAGAACGAAGTGACAGGGCTGTGAGGGAAGGATCTTCTATTCCTCTGCTAGCTTCTGGTGGTTTGCTGGCAATCTGGTGTTACTTGGCTTGTAGATGCATTGTGCCAGACTGCCTTGATGTTTATATGTCTTTCTCCCTATATGTTTGTCTGTTTCTGTGTCCAAATTCCCTGTTTTTGAAGATACCAGTTATTGGGTTTTTCAGTTCAGTTCAGTCCCTCAGTCATGTCCGACTCTTTTCGACCCCTTGAATCGCAGCACGCCAGACCCCCCTGTCCATCACCAATTCCCGGAGTTTACTTAAACTCATGTCCATCGAGTCGGTGAAGCCATCCAGCCATCTCATCCTCTGTCATCCCCTTCTCCTCCTGCCCCCAATCCTTCCCAGCATCAGGGTCTTTTCCAGTGAGTCAACTCTTCACATGAGGTGGCCAAAGTATTGGAGTTTCAGCTTCAGCATCAGTCCTTCCAATGAACACCCAATGATCTCCTTTAGGATGGACTGGTTGGATCTCCTTGCAGTCCAAGGGACTCTCAAGAGTTTTCTCCAACACCACAGTTCAAAAGCATCAACTCTTCGGCACTCAGCTTTCTTCACAGTCCAACTCTCACATCCATACATGACCACTGGAGAAACCATAGCCTTGACTAGACGGACCTTTGTGGACAAAGTAATGTCTCTGCTTTTTAATATGCTATCTAGGTTGGATTTTTACCTGCCCTAATTATAATACTTATCTTAATTTGATCGCCTGTAAAGACCCTATTTCCAAATAAGGTTACATTCATGCGTACCCGCGGGTTAGGACTTAAACATCTTTTCCAGGGATACAGTTTAGTCCATGACAGGTTGTAAGAACCAGCCAACTGCCAGGAGATAGGCAAGTTTTTGTGAGGCTGGATTATAAGTGTGCTTGATAAGTGGTGGTCCCCACCGTCCTTGTTTAATTCACCGGCAGGAGCCCTGCAGAAACCAGAGGAAAACTGGAGTGTAAAGTTGGTAGAGGACTTATGATCAGTCTTCTAAGATACAGGATTTAACACCTAGGCAAAGACTGGTAGCAAACTTCTAAAGTGATGCTATGTCTATTGCTATATAACAAATTACTACACACTTAGTGGCTTAAAACAAGAATCATTTATTATCCTAAGTTGCTGAGGGCCGGGGCATAGTAGAATTGACCTACATCATCTAGGGCTTCAGTTGGAACAGCTTGAAGGCTGGAGGTTGGAATGACCTGAAGGTTCATTTACTCACATGTCTGACAGTCGATGCTGGAGCACAGATTGGAGGCGTCAGCCAGCATACCCACACATGGCCATTCCCACTAGTCAGTGGTGGCTCACCCCTGTAGGCAAGAGCTGACAGTAGGAAAGGTTGCTTCAGAACAGCATTTGGGGGGTGGGGGGGCGGTGAATCCTAGTAGAAAAGAGGCCAGGAAGGAGCTTGTAACTGACAGAAGTCAGTACTGCAAATTACAGTGGCCAGCAAGGTCTGAGTGGTAGCCAAGGGACCCTGACCTGTGGACAGTTGCATAAATGGTTAATAAAACACAGCATCCCTAGAGGCAAAACGGATGGACAGTTGAAGACACCAGCAGAAAAAAGTTAAGGATGGATGAATAAGAAAACCAGGATCAAACAGCCAGTTTCTGGACTGAGCTGGTTTTCAGATGTGGTACTGAAGAGGTGGCCAAATACCAAGAAGGACCCTGCAGTATACCACAAGTACATAACAGAAATGAATCCTGAAGTCCTTTTCCAGAGTCTAATAGCCATCTCCTTTGATAACTACACCCAGGGGGAAAGTGGATAGCCAAATATTCTAAAGATTGATGTACACAAAGTCTGAATTGACTTTGATATCCAGACAACTGCATTATCATCACGGCTCCCCTGTCAGAGTGGCTGCATATGGTGGCCAGATGATTAATGGAGTCCTCCCCCAAGGTCCAGCTTACAGTAGGCCCACCGGCTCTGTAGACCTGTTTGGTGGTCATTTCCCGTGTCCCAAACTGAATAATTGGCATTGATGTACTTGGTAATTAACACTACTCCCAAGTTGGGTCCCTGACCTGTAGGGTTAAAGCTATCACAACAGGAAAAGTCAAGTGGAAACCTATAAAACTGATCTGTTCCAGTCAAGATCATAGAATCTCTGGGGTGGTGGGGGGGGGACAGTGGCAGAACTGGGGGCCACTTTTAAGGATCTAAAGGATACAGCATGGTGGTCCCCCAAGTCTTAAATTCACCAGTATGATCCCTGAAGAAATTGGATCCTGGAGGATGGCAGTACACTGCAAACTCAACAGAGTGGTAGCCATGATAGTAGTTTCTGTGTCAGATGCAGGGGGTGGCTACCGATTTGGTGTGTTCTTTTCTGTCCACATCAGAAACAAAAGGATCAGGACCATTTCACATTCACATGGAACACAGATGCAGTTTTGCCTGAAGGCTATTACCTTTCTTACTCTCTTGTAGTCCAAAGACTTCACCATCCTTAAGAATATCACACTGCTCCATTACATCAATAATATTACAAAGATGCTGGAGGCCTTGGTAAGATACAGGTGCTCCAGAGAGTAGCAGACAAACCCTGTGAAGATTCAGAGACTTGCTACATTTGTAACATTTTTAGCGATCCAATTGTCAGTGGTGCCCTAGGGCATCCCTTCCAAAAGGCAAAGACAATTATTGCATCTTGCACCTTCAGCCATCAATAAAGGAAGATACTGTTGGATCTTTTCAGGTTCTGGAAATGGCATATTCCACACCTATGAATAGTGCTCTGGCCCAAATACTGGGTGACTTGGAAGACTTCCAAGTTTGAGAAGAATCCAGAAAAGTAAGAGTTTTTGTAATTGGTCGAGGCTGTGATGCAAGCAGTTGTGCTGCCCCAGCCATATGGTCTAGCAGGTGGTGGTGGTGGTGGGAAACGATATGATGTGGAGTTTTTGGCACATCTCAGCAGGAGATTCATGAAGCAGGA